CTAACCCACCAATTCCAACTAGCACTACAATGTATGGTTTTTACCCTCTGAAATCACTCTCAAATCTCTCTTTTCCCTGTCTTCACTGCCATGAACCTAGTCCAGGTCACCATTATTTCTCTTCAGGAGGTCACAGCCTCCTCACTGGGTTCCGTGTCTCTGGTCTTGCTGCCCCATCCTCTCCCTTCCTTTATATGTAGAGTTGATACTGTATGGACTTCAGTTAAGTTCCTTTCCCTTGCTGGGCATCAGCTTCTCCATCCTGAACGGGGTGAGTTCCTAAGTCTTGTGCAGCAATCTTTTCTGCGGTTCTGTGATCAGATGGTTCTCGATTGCACTCTGGGGTGGCTATCTAGACTTCCAACGAAGGTATTGCTGTGCCTGACCGCTGGCTTCTCAGTGTGCATATTCATTCATGCATTTCTCCTTTCATTCAGCATTTACTAAGCTCCCACTGTGTACTAGGCACTGTACTTAGTGCAGGTGATTCAGTGGGGGAATAAGAACATGACTTGTCCTCAAGGAGCTCAATCTGTTGGGGGGTATAGACACAAACAGGAGATCTAGCCCCTTCTGTGAGGTGGGAGTAATCATGGAAGGCTCCCTGGAGGAGCTGACATCTTTTTAATTTTTTTTAAATTTTTTAAAATATTTTTTAGAAAGAGAGAGCATGTGCAAGCAAGCGAGTGAGGGGGGTATGAAGGCTAGAGGGAGAGGGAAAGCGAGAATCTTAAGCAGGCTGCACACCCAGTGTGGGACTCGATGCAGGGCTCAATGCAGGGTTCGCTCTCATGACCCTGAGATCATGACCTGAATCGAAATCAAGAGTCAGACACTTAACCGACTGAGCCACCCAGGCGCCCCTGGAGGAGCTGATATCTTGGAGCCTGAATGATAAATAGGAGCTAACTAGGAGAGCAGAGACATGTACAAAGGCCCTGGGACAGGATGCTAAAAGAAAGTAAAGCAAGATTGGAGGATGGCAGACCAATTGGGAGGCTATGGCAACACTCTAGGGGAGACATGAGGAAGACCTGGATGAAGACCATGGGGACAGAGAGAAATGGACAGGTTTGAGTTGCATTTTGGAGGTGGAATTGACAGTCCTTGCTGGTGGATTGGATGCAGAAGATGAGGGAAGAGAGGTCATGGAGAACCCTTGGGTTTCTGGTTTAGTCAACTTTGTGGATAGACTGTCATTTGCTGAGTTAGTTCCATTTACTCAAGAGGAAGGAGCTGGTTTCGGGAATGGGATTGAGGAGAAGATGATGAGTTCAGCTTTGGTCTTGTCTAGTTTGGGATGGTATACCCAGGTGGAGAGGCCTGGTGAGCCATTAGTTATAAGGATCTGGTATACTGAGAAGAGCAATTGGGGCCGGAGGTGACTGGGGAGTCATTAGCATATAGAGGAAGTTCCTTTAGGAGAATGAGCAGACACTGAAGAGCTGAGTGCCCAGGAGAGCCAAGACACCAACACCAAGTAAGGGGGGCAGTGTTCTCATAGATGTGGGGTGCTGGCATACATGCTCATTCATTCCAGGGTACACATCCCTGCCCCAAAGAGAGTTTCTCAATGATATCTGTGCATCTCCCACTTAAACTTAAGAGAACAAACATTAAAAATACCCAGTCATGGGGCGCCTGGGTGGCTCGGTCATTAATTAAGCATCTGCCTTCGGCTCAGGTCATGACCCCAGGGTCCTGGGATCGAGTCCCGCATCGGGCCCCCTGCTCCGCGGGGAAGCCTGCTTCTCCCTCTCCCACTCCCCCTGCTTGTGTTCCGTCTCTCGCTGTCTCTCTCTCTGTCAAATAAATAAATAAAATCTTTAAAAAAAATACTCAATCATAACTTCTCCATTTTACCATAAATGATACCTAAAGAGGGAAGGGAACGGATACTTTCATGCTACCGGCCAGGTGTTCATTAACTCACTTAAATGCCTACAATAACCCTACACCAGAGCTATTGTTTCTCAGAGCTCTAGAGACTCAGTGGTTACGTCACTTGCCCAAGGTCACCTAGCTATTACATGGCAGTAAGGAGATTTGACTCCCGCTCTGTCTGACTCCAGATCCAGCACCACGATACCAGGTAACCACACTACACCGCCTCCTGCTATAGAGTTGGATCCTCAGGAAAGCCTGCACACGCTCCCTTTTCCCTTCTGCTTCATAAATATCATTTGCATCCCCTAGCTTAATGCTTTGCTCTCCATTAAAATACAAATCCCCTTGGGGAGAAGTAAAGCTCTAAGTTGTTGTCAGTCATTTATGCCTCAGTGGCAATGAGTTTCAGATTCTTCCATGGGTTTAAATTTTAATTTGATGGGAGAAGGACACTGGAAACTTCAGGAAGGGATAAAAAGACAGAAAGGGGGCTAATAAGGAAAAGCCAGCCCCCTCTCCGTTTCACACTAGTGCCTAGTCTGAGGCGTGTGCTTTTATGATTCTTCGGGGCTATTTCTGCGCCTGTGTCCCACAACAGTCTCCCCTTCTCCACGGTTTTGCTTTCCGTGGTTTTGGTTACCCGTGGTCAACCATGGTCCAGAAGCAGATGATCCTCCTTCTGACCTATTCACTAGTAGCCTACTGCTACGTCACCGCGCCTACGTCGTTCCCCTCACACCATCTCATCACGTAGGCATTTTACCACCTCACATCATCCCAAGAAGGGTGAGTCCAGAAGAGTAAGATATTTTGAGAGAGAGACCACATTCACATTTTTTTTTACAGCAAATTGTTAATAGTTGTTCTGTTTTATTATTATTGTCAATCTTGTCCTGTGCCTGGTTTACAAATTAAACTTTATCCCATGTATGTGTGTAGAGGAAAAACGATAGTGTGTGTGTGTGTGTGTGTGTGTGTATATATATATAGAGAGAGAGGTTTGGTACTATCTGCGGTTTCAGGCCACCACCGGGGGGTGTGGGACACATACCCACGAATAAGGAGGGACTACTGTCTTTCATATGCAGACCCATTACCGGGTCTGTTACCCCAGTGATGTGGGGCCGGAGCTGTGGGTGTGGTCTGGTCTAAGGTGACCCGAGACCGCATGCTAGCCCCAATGCCCTGTGGTCAGCAGGAAGCAGGCAGCCTGCGCATCAGTCAGGCACTGCCGTTCCTGGCCTCAGGCACAAGTCCCAGCTCAGTCTCTGGAGAATTCGACCCTGCTGCGCATATTTAAAATCCCTAGCAGATGGAGGCAGGAGAGCTTGTTGGAAAGACTGGGTGGAGTCCCTTCTGCCCTGTCTGGGTCTATTTGCCAAAATAAATGACATGTATGAGGGCAGGGCATTGGTCCAAGCCCATTGAAATTCTGCTATAGCAGGTCCCAACAGTGCTGGTGTTTCAGATTGGCTCTGGGAAATGATCAGAGTTAGGAAGAGAGAAATGATGTGTGAGCATCTGGCTGCCGCAGCCTACTGATGGGGACAGTCCCAGGGGCGGGCCCGGGGTAAGGGGGGCAGGCTCAAGGACCCCCTAGGACATCTGCCACTGGCGAACAGGGAAAGGGCCCCACACTGGCAGCCGGCGGTCTGGTTGGAGTCCCACGCTGTTCTCCTCACTAGCTATGGGACCCAAACAAGTCCTTCCCCTTCTCTCGGCCTCTTTTCTCTTCCCCCCATGTATAAAATAGAACCTAGATGAAATGGTCTCCGAGGGCCCTTTCTGCCCGAACATTCTGTGACTTCTCTGACACGGGTTTGATTTCTTTTTATTTGTAGTGAGAGAGGCCCACCCACCCACCTGCTTATCTGCAGCTGCTGTGTTCTCACGCTGACCTCTGCTGGCCATTATGAAAGGTGCCACCGAGCGCTTCTTCGGAGGACCAAATTAAAAAAAAAAAAAAGGCAGTTCATCATTGATTTAGGGTTAAGCTTCCTCAGTAGAGTGGACACAGGGACAGGAACCCCGTGCGTTGGAGACGAGCGAAAAAGAACATCCAGCTGGAAACACCGAGCAAGCATATCTATGACATATCAAATGTGTCCCTCCCTTCTTCCCGTTGTGGTCTTCAGCTGCTGGCCGTGCTCTGCACCGCTGTATGATGGTACCGCAGGGGGGAGGAAGAGTCCTCGTCTCAGATCCTATGATCCAGAAGGGCCTGGCGCCCCACTGAGGAGGCAGTTCTAGGCTAGTGGTACCTCAGGGGCCTCGAGACATCCCACAGGCCCCGCTTCTGGCCCTTAGCTGGGTCTGAGAGCTTTCCAGCCGGGGCCAGCCCAGAGGCTATACCCGGAGGTATGCGTGCCCCCGAGGGGGGCCATTTCAGAAGGCCCTTTGGAAAAAGAACTAGAATCCAAAGAATCCACGAGTCCTTTAAGAGACTCACTTTAAGCTCTCTGTGGCAAATTCAGCATGGCCGGCCAGCCGAGAGAAAGGGAGCAGGCCAGGGAATCCTGCCTTTTCTCGATGGAATCAGATTTCCTGTTAAGTCCAACCTTAGAATCACCACACTCCTATGTCTCCTTGGTTACTCTTGCTGAGCGTGTGCTCACAGGGGCAAGAGACCAGAGTTGGACTGTGCCAGCCAGGCCCTGCTCAGGCCCCAGTGATGCAAGCAAGATGGGAACTGGGCCACACCACAATCTGCTCTCTCAGTCCAATGGTTTATCGTGCTCTCCACCTCCCATCCCTTGATGTGAGAAAGCTTTGGGCAGGCCTCAGATTTGGGTCAAGCACTCAGTGCCCTGCTTGCATCCTCTCTGCTAGTAATAACCCGGCCTCAGCAAGCCCACCCTGGGCCCCATCCTGGGCCCCATCCTCCCACCAACCAGTCCCCTCCATCCCCAACAGCTGGTTCTTATCTGTCTCCCTTGTTTCAGCCTCAGGCAGGCTGGAATTTCAGCCCTGAAATGCTGCCTTCCTCCCATTCGTCCCCTGTCCCCAAACCTCTGAGGGTTCCCTATGCACTCCTCCATCAAGTCTTCAACTTTCCTTCTTTGCTTTCCAGGCCCGCCTCAGTTGGGGCCCCCTCAGCCTTTCCAGTGTGGGCCATGACTCCCCCAAGCCATGGACAGAACGTAAGCATTTCACAAACCCTCCATGGCCAACCCTTTCTTTGTGCTCCTGGACCACTTAGGCTCTGTTTTAGACCCGTACTGTTTGCTGTGGTTTTGTGGACATTAGTCTTGAAAGCTAGGCCTACTTTTTGGACTTCTTTGTTAATTTCTTTGTTAATCCTCAACCCGCCAGCATTATTTAAGTATTGGTATTGGTCTTTTTCTTTATATGTATACTTACAAGAGTAATAAATAACAATCATTATAAACAAAATTCCAACAGTGGGAGGTAAGAGCATAAAAAGTGAAAGTTCTCATCCCACTCCATCGTTCCCAGAAATAAGCCATTAAGCACTCTGCAGCCTAGCACCCTTTAGAAGTTATATGTTGGGTGCTGGGGAAGGTTGAGTGGTGGGTGGTACCCCCAGAAAATTGCATCTCCTTAGGAAGAACATCTTTGTACTTCTTTGGATGAATTATTGGTCTTCATGGGCCTAATTGACACTGGAAACTTTACTCCAAAGGCCCCGCACAGCTGGTAGCCACTTGCCCAGTACGTGACTCTAACCACTACCTAAAGCATCTGTCCTGTTTCCAGCCTTTTAAAAAGTAATCCTTGAAGGTGAATATTAAAGAGCATGTCTAATGGGCTTTCCTGAGTTTTTCGCAGATCTGTAGGAAATTGCAGACAGTCAGTAAAAGGGCCAAGAGGTGGAGATGGGAAACGTTCATGAAAATAGGCTCTCTACCTGGTATGGCGTGGTGTTCTCTGAGAGGTAATGCACATTACTAATGGTTTTCATCTTTCTGGCAAGAATATTCAGTACCTACTGGGATTTGTTCTAAATGATAGACTAGCCCGCCTGTGTTGCACCCACTGGGGTTAATTCTCTATCTCCGTCAGCTTTGAAATGTCAGCCTGAACTCTCAGACTTAACTGTTGCAGACACTTTATAACTAACACATTCAAAATCCTCAAGCTGCTCCCTCTTGCTATCATAATTGATACTTAATGGATAGTCTCAGGCTTCTTGAATTTTACACATTCAACACTCTACAGATGGTGGGTTGAAGGGAAAGAGGGAGAAATAGAGAAGGAACAAATAAACAGTGTGTGTGTGTATGTGTGTGTGTGTGTGTGTGTGTGTGTGTGTTCCCTGTAAGCATCTGTTTCCAGTTGCAGTGATGGGGCCCTGGGATCTGCAAACAAAGATGAGCTTTTGCAGGTTGGTCAGCCTATGGGTTTCTGGGTTTTCCCCTCTCTGGATCTTTCTCCCTTCTCTGGAACCCCCACCCCCACCCCGAGGCAATGTTCTTTAGGCCTAGCCATTTCTGGACTTCACTGCAAGTATGGGATTGGCCATTTGAATGTGAGTTATAAAATGTCACGATGCTCTCCAGCATTCTGTTCTTTCACTATTTTGACAATCTGATAGATGGCCTGGCATTAACTAGGAAGAGGACAATATTATCCTGCCTGAATAACTAATCTCCTAAGAAGTACAAAGTTGAAGGATCTTGGTGCACATGAATCTTATTAAATGTGCTTATAAAATATGTTCTATCCAAATAAGCTTAGCAGCCCCGAAAATAGCCTTTTCTGATCTGTGTCTGGAACTTTGGCATGCTTCACAGATTTCTAAGCCAAAATTATTTAGTGAAGTGATGACAGTGTTCTCTGTGCATGGGAAAATGGAAGTGTTGATGTTGAGTCCTCTATTGGCCTAATTGCACCCCTTCTCTCCATCTTAGGGGCGACCGGGACCAATTGGAATTCAAGGTCCAACAGGTCCACAAGGATTTGCCGGCCCTAGTGGTTTAGCAGGGTTGAAAGGAGAAAGAGGCTCCCCAGGCCCCCTGGGACCATATGGACCAAAAGGAGATAAGGTAAAAACACCAGAGCTTGGTTTCTCTTTGACTAATGGACCACACATATGAAGGTGAAAGGTTCTAAATCTCAGTTCTGTTTGTTTATGGAAATAATGCTAATCCTGAGTCCCTTGGTGCCAGGCTACAGACTTAAATAAGAAACAGGCTGGACGATATGCTGCTAATGGATCAACCCATTTCTAGAGACACTCTCATGGAAAGCAAGCCATAAAGCACATGTGTTGGCTACTTGCTGGGCAAGTGGGCTTGCTGGGCTGGGATTTCAGGTGGGTTCGAGGTGGGCATGGGTCAGAAGTTCAATCAGCTGGGCAGGAGAGGTCAGGAATCCAAGCAAGGAGACTGGCAAGCAAAGTGTCAGAATGCTAGGAAGCAGTCTGGGCCACGAAGGTAGGGAAAGAGATGCAAGAAAGGAGATTGATCATGTCATGGTAGCTGGCTGAGTTTAGCAGCTTAGTTTATGCTCCCTGCAGATTTTAATCACTTCCTATTCACCCCACTGTTAAGGGAGGGATTCCCACCCTAGGGTTCTGGGGATGGCAGAAGACATGACCCCTGACCTCGGATGGAAGAGATTGACATCAGGTTTATTAGTCACCTATACTCACAGCGGGGCCACATGGTGTATGAGGGGAGGTGCACTCTGGAACAGACCAAACCAGAAGGGGCTGTGAGAGGTAGCCTTTGTAGTGTCAAAAGGGTGAGGTGCCCTTTGGTTCCCATGGGAGGATGTGGTTGGCTTGTTTGAATAATTTAATGAGCCATCAGGGACTGAAACCCACGACTCAGGGATAAGCAGGAACTGCTCCTGCTCTGTTTGATAAGGAGGGCCATTTCCCTAGGAGACCTTATCTATGGGAGCAGAGAAGACAGGGGAACTTGGGGCTAGGCCTTTAGAGGCCCTCCCAGTTGTCCCAGATGTCAAAGCAGCATGTAATATTGAGCTATTATTTGTGGTCTGGCACCATATTGCTCAAGATAAAAACTGGTCTCAGAACACAAACATATTTAAGACCTTGGGTAGAGGCAAGTGATCACTCGGACCTGGAGTAGGGAGCAAGGTGACACAATGTGGAGAGGGAGGTGCACAACACTTCTTAACTTAGGTCATGAATCATGTGAAAGAACCCACTGAATCTAGTGGAGATCAGTTAGATTGTGTCTTACACCTTCCTCTTCCTACTCCTTGTTTTAGGGTCCCATGGGAGTTCCTGGCTTTCTCGGCATCAATGGGATTCCGGTGAGTATGTCCCCAGAGGCATTTTTCAACACCACTTCTAGGTCGTACCTCACGGCACACTCACCTTGGCCTTCACCACATCCTGTTTCACACAAGCGTGCTCTGGGTCAAGTGTTGAGATGCTTGATGTTCAGGCTTGAAGCGAAGTGGTTGCACACACTTTCCCGGGGCTTTAGTTACAGGTAGCACTAAATCAGCCAGCTGGGACGTGTGCGGGCATGACTGTCAATACGTTAGCCAAAAAGAATTAGGTCTTGTGGGTCGAGGGGAGCTTTAACCGGAGATGATGTGTGGAGACACACATCAGAGTGCATGCATACTCATTATAAGAAAATTAAGGAAAAAAAGAATATTTAGAGGATACATAAAATTAGGCAGAAAAATACTTAGTGTTATCTCAATACATTTCATTCCAGTGATTTGTTCTCTTCAGTCTTATCTCATTCCAGAGTGAATTTCCCTTTAGTTTTTACAGAGTGACTATTCCAAAGATTGCACAGAGACAGCCCCTTCCCTTTATCCTGAGGACCTGGTTTTGCTGGAGATAAGTGAGGAATTTGGAGCTTACAGACATCTCCTTTTCCCATTTTATCTGGTCCAACCCCTTGGTTGCTCTGTTTTCACCCTGTATCCTTATTTACACCACCACTGGAGAGTCCATGATTAACATTTTGCCAGCCTTTAAAATACAGTATTTGCAACTTGCTGCTGTCATTTTTTAGTTCTGCCTTTTGGCACGTGTCTAGATATCTAATCTGTAGCCTGGGCTGTGTTTGTCTATAGCAATGGTTTTCAGCCTTCTTTCAGAGAAGACCCAAAGGTTGTGTGGAAGGAAGCTCAGTGTACGAATCAGGGAAAAGTGGAGCTTCTTTGTTTGAGGGAGGTTTTAGAGCCTGCTTTTATCCTTCCAACAACCTCGAAGGGTTTCTTCTGAACCATATCTAAGAACAGTTTGGCAAATCCTGGACTTAACAGCTTCTTGCGTTATACTGTGTTATCATCTCGTATCAAGGAAGGGGGCTTAAACCTCCTTGTGCCAGTCTGTAGGTATTTCTCGTGCACTCACTAGATGCTATCTCTCTACTACGGGGATACAGAAAAAGCGTATGGATCTACCCTCAAAGATATTATCATCTGGGGGCACCTGGGTGGCTCAGCCGGTTGAGCGTCTGCTTTCGGCTCAGGTCATGATCCCGGGGTCCTGGGATCGAGCCCCACATCAGGCTCCCTGCTCAGTGGGAAGCCCGCTTCTCCCTCTCCCTGCTTGTATGCTCTCTCTCTCTCAAATAAATAAAATATTTTAAAAAGATATTATCATCTGATCCATTTTCGTTCCAGCTCTAGTATACAGTTGTGGAGTTGGAGGACAGAGTCTTGTTTCCTTATATTTGTTATCTGTATCAACAAATCGGCCATCAGCATTCTGCATTTTATCCAACTGCGGAGTCTGCAAAATGCCCAGAAATGGGCAGCAGGGACATAAGTGGATGGGGTTAGCTGTCCTTTCATGACATCCTCTGGCATTTTCCCCTGGCTGTCTTCCTATCGGCACTTTATCCAGAGTCTCCGCTCGGATTGTGTGTCTTCTGGGAGCCAGCGGGTAAGGAAAACGAGAAAGCTGGAAAGCGCCTCTTCCATTCCTCCTTTGGAGCTGAGTGGGGGATTTGGAGCTTACAGCACCACTGGGCTCTTCCTCCTGCAGTCTCTTTTTAATGGGGGCTGGAAGGAAGCGAATCCTGTGACACAGAGGCTGATTTCAATTCTGAACTGGGACATGCCCCAGAGTCCAGCTGGATACTTCTCTCTCCAGCGTGTGGCCAGGAGAGTGCTAGGGCTTGCAGGAATTGCTCACTTCTCTCTGGGGCTTCATTGCTTGGGAGAATGAGGTACAGGTGTCCAGATTCTTCCAAATGAATGCACTGCTCCCGATAGAAGTCCCCACTCCCTTGGCCCTTCTCTTGACCAAAGGTTGTCTATGTTTGCTTTTGACCATTGATTGCTTTAGCTTCAGGCTCCAAGACTCTCTTACTCCGTGAAATTATTCTCCCTTGTTCCTTCCCTCTCTTCCAGGGGTTCAAGATGTATTTATCGGGCACCTTCTGTTTGCTGCTTACCTCTCCCTTCCATCTCTAATCTCCTAGGAGTCCTCGGTGTCTGTTCCATGCACTCTAGCTCCTTATTACATGTGGCCCATGGTATTTATTAGTTGTCTTGTGTGATGGTCTTATCTAGCGTCCTTGAAAGTGCAGAGTACCTCTTCTGCTCCACTCGGAGGCCTCAGAGACCCCAGGGCTGAATTCATCACATACTAGAATGTTAGAAATATCTGTGGGACTGGCTCCAACCCCTAGTGCCCACACAAGCAACAGTTGTCAGACTGGCAGGACTCCCTCAGACACAGGAAGGCGTAGACACCCTTGGCCCAGCCAGACTAATTATTTCGCTCTACTTTCGTCAGCTGAAACCAACAGCTTTCCCAACACATCTTACTAAACTGGATCACTGCACAAATCTGATTCCCCACTTAATACTGGCTGATCGCTAACATATGTGTCACTGGTTTTGGCCCCAAAACTCCATTGTTGCTGCCATGTAGGTAGTTTCAACATGAGTGAGCAAGTAATCATTTTACGATCATCCAAGTCTGTGCACCAAGGGGCACAGCAACCAGTTGGGAGAATGAACAAACACGCATTTATCAAGATAGTCAACATTAGACTAACATCGACTCGGGGCGGTAGGCTTGTGGTTTTTCATGATATCACAGCTGTGCATTGGAGCTGTTGGCACCCACAAGAAATGTGTGTTTATCAACTGTTTTCAGTTCACATAAGGTTGGGAGCAGAAGTTTTCAAGTTGTCCTTTGCAATGTATGTTTAGCTTTTCTCCTGGAGTTAATCTCAAACATTTCCCTTCCTAGAGACTTGTAACTGAACACACCAGATTTATATCTTTGGAGTGAGCACAAACCACTCACCAAATGGAAACTTTTCCCTTTGAAATCTGGGTTCTCAGGAACATTGCTTTTCTGGATTACAGCACATCTTCTTATCCTGTGTGGCACCTTGCAGTTGTATAGAATCATGGTATCCTCCCTCAAAGAGCTACGTTCCCCTTGAAAACTGACACACACATATGTAAAATCATTAGCTAAAACCAGAAGGGGCCCATTGCCCGAAATGCTGTGGTACTACTGAGAATTCAAAGGAGATAGAACTTCAGCCCGGTGGCATACCCTTGCTGACTTGCCTGGGAGAAGTAGACTTCCTGTTCATTGAGCTCCTATGTAGTAAACTTAGCCTCATTTAATTGTAGCCATAAACTGTTCATTTCATTCTGATGTTGACAACAACCCTAGGAGTTAGTATTGTTCATCTCCATTTTTTACTGATGAAGAAACTGAGGCTCAAGCTGGGGAGAGGCAAAGCTGGGATTGGAACACAAGTCTGGCTGACTCAGAATATGCTTTAGCTGTCACCTCAGCTGAACAAGACAAGGCTGACAGGTCTAAGTCAAATGCCAGTGGTTAATTCCAGAGAATTCAGCTAAGGTGGGGGAAAGAGTGAACAGGTGCTGCCTGGAATCCTGCAGGTAGAAGGTATTAGGAATTCAGGCAAGGGGCGCCTGGGTGGCTCAGTCGATGGAGCGTCTGACTCTTGATTTCAGCTCAGGTCATGATCTCAGGGTCGTGATATGGGGCCCCACGTCGGGCTCCGCACTCAGCGCAGAATCTGCTTGAGATTCTCTCTCTTCCTCTGCCCCTCTCCCCCCGTCGTGCTCGCTCTCTAAAATAAATAATTTTTTTTTTTTTAAAAAGGAATTCAGGCAAGAAAACCACAGGATTGGGGCCCAAGTTAAAAAAAAAATGTAGATACCAAGGGGTAAGAAGTCAGGAAGAGTTTTGATGTCAAACACAACCAAGTCTCAAGGAGTAAGGTGGGTCCCTAGGACTGAGCCAACCTATTGTCTTTGCCTTAACTCATCCCTGTTACCCAGCTGAGCGATGACCCCTAGCACGTTTGGCTGGGATATTTTATTTTATTTATTTTTTTTAAAGATTTTATTTATTTATTTGACAGAGAGAGACACAGCGAGAGAGGGAACAGAAGCAGGGGGAGTAGGAGAGGGAGAAGCAGGCTTCCCGTCGAGGAGGAAGCCCGATGCGGGGCTCGATCCCAGGACCCTGGGATCATGACCTGAGCCGAAGGCAGACGCTTAACGACTGAGCCACCCAGGCGCCCCGGCTGGGATATTTTAAAGTGGCGATCAGGATCCCGGGAAGAAATAGACACTCCACCTGAAAGGATTAACTGAAGAGAGTGTCGTGAAGGGTATATTTAAAGGATGTAGGCATGATTCAGGGCAACAGCAATGGATTGCAAAGCAGCTGACACAAAAGCTTTGGCTGCCCCTAGGCCCAAAGGGGAAAGAAAGAACAGTGATCGTGGAACCGGACACTGGACACTGGTCAGACCTGGAGCCAAGGAATAGTGGCTGCTCAACAAAGACTTGTAGAGAAATGTGGCCATTGTCCGAAATATGGCCAGGGAGGGAGGGCGTGAGGGAAATAAACAACCTGTGCTCTTTTTCCTCCTGCTCTTTGATCTTCTGCCTGTGTCTCCCAGTGGCCAGAGACAACTGGGAGACAGAGAGAAAGGGAGCCTAGGCGGCGCCGTTCATAAAGTTCAGCCTCCCAAGGCACAGATCTGGGGAAGGTGGAGCGTGGATGTTCAGGGCAAACAAGAAGAGCCATTTCGTTTGGGAATAAAATGTTGACGACTTAGTAAGCTGTTCTCGGTGTCCCCAGCACAGCTAAAATTTGTCACCTGAGTCTGAGCAGGTACAGATTGCAGCAGGTTTATTGTGAAGATAAGTTTCTTGACCATTCTTCTGTTCTTAGCATTCCCTGAGTCCAGCAGTCTAGACTCATACTTTTGTATCAGTAGACTATCTCCTACCACCGTAATAACAATGAAACCGTATCAAAATCCTATGGAGCATTTTCTCAGTAAGAATTTGACAAAAGCTCGTTTCCCCTAATGATTCAAAAAGTTGAGTTTCGAATGTGTGGCACGTTTTCCTCAAATTATGAAATATCCATGGTTGGCTTTAAAAAGTGCATGTGACAGGGTCGGAGTCAACCTTTTATTGACCCGTCCAGATTTCTGGGCTTTCAGGTCATCTCTTTGCTCCGTAACCCAACACACACCCCGCTTTTGACAGATTTTAAAAGATCTGTTCCCTACAAAAAGGTGGACTCTAAGCCCAACTCTGGGAAACTCTTGAATTCTGATCAGTCATGTGAATGATTGCTAATCCCCCCGGCAAAACAACTGTCTCGGTAGCAAGTATGGAGAAGAGGCAAAAGCTTAGAGGTGGTGCTGTGGAAACTGCTTCTGCTCTCTTGACCAACAGCCAACATCTTTTCCTAGGCAGAGCCATATAAAAAAAAGCCCCAGGCTTTTCCAATACAGAGAGCCACACCAGGCTGCCCAGGTTCCCGTCTATTCTGAGGAAGTCCCAAGGCCTGGCATGATTCCCTGATGGAAACCCTTCGGCTGCCAGCCAGCTAAGCCCTGTCTTAGTACATCTTTTTACCCCGGGAAGTTGAAGTTGCACCACCCTGTGTATCCCATCTCTTTAGGCTTGATCCCTTCGGTTTCAGCACGGGTCCAATTAAAGCATCAATCCTTCGGGAAGGGGGCCCCCCCGGGTTGTCATCAGCTCCGTACATCTGAGTGTGGACGAAAGCTCTAAGAGCATAGTTCTCATAGGGCAAAGGGAGTGGACAAGGAGCCAGCGATGGGCAGCACACTTGGTTTCTCTTCCTGTGGAGCTTGTCAGGGTAGGTCGGAGTCCTGCAGCTGACGTGATCCCTTCTTTTCTCTTGGAACAGGGCCACCCCGGACAGCCAGGGCCCAGGGGCCCACCTGGCCCGGATGGCTGCAATGGCACTCGAGGAGCTGTTGGATATCCGGGCCCTGATGGCTATCCTGGGCTTCTCGGACCACCCGTATGTTGCTGGATCTTTGTCCATTATCTCAAAAGGCATTCTTCGCCTTTCCCTGCTTTTATGGAGACCTCGTTAAGCATCTGCATCTAAAGGATACCAGTTGCGGGGGGCGTGCACACGCTCCACTCCTCAGAGGGTTTTTTTTTTTTTTTCTTTTTCAAACGATACTTTTAGAGTTGGCAGGGTTGTGAAGAGCCTCTAGTACATTTCAGAGCAAAGTATACACTTGGGCTATTTGACATGTTCCCACATCAGATGACATTGGAAAATGCAGTACTTGGAAGGCTTACGTGGGATCACGGGAGCACTGATAATGACTCAAAGGGCTTGGCAGGCTTGGTCTAAACCAGTGATTCTTGACCAGGGGTGAGGATTCCCCACCCCCAAGGAACATTTGACAGTTACTAGTGACAATTTTGGTTGTCACCACTAGCAGAAGATGGCTTTCCTCCAACATCAAGGAATCATCTGTCCCAAAGTGTCCATAGTGAGAAAGAATTGAGAAATCCTACTCTACACTGACATAGTTTGCCCCCATCCCCCCACAACCCACCCCCATAACCCTTGGTCCCGGGATTGGTAGAGCATTTTTTAGATCCTCCTCTCACCACTTTTATTTAATTCTATTCATCCAGATAGGGCTCAGATATTTGGATCTGAAGGATCTCTAATATATACCATGCCCTTGCAAGGCTGCTTTTACAAGTGACTGGAAAGAGAAAAATAACACATTCAAGCCCATTGTCAACCTTACTTGAAATAATCTAAGCTACTAAGGGTACTGAGGTGATGGATTTAGCTAGAAATCACACTATTAGACAGATTCCGTAGCTACATGAATTATTGGCATTTTTTCAGTATGTCTTGTTCCAGTGCTATCCCACATTCTTTTTCTTTGTTATAATTAAAGTGTAATTGACATCTAACATCATATTAGTTTCAGGCGTACAACATAATGATCCGATATTTGTATACATTGCAAAATGGTCACCACACTAAGTCTAGTTACCATCTGTCACCATACAGAATGATAAATTTTTTTTCTTATGGTGAGAACCTTCAAGATCTCCTCTCTTAGCAACTTTCAGGTATGCAATAAAATATTGTTTACCCTAGGGGCACCTGGCTGGCTCAGTCAGTGGAGGATGCAACCCCACGTTAGGGTATAGAGATTACTTAATAATAAAATCTTTTAAAAATATATTATTGACTATAGTCACCATGCTGTACATGACATCCCCATGACTTCCTTATTTTGTAACTGGAAGTTTATACCTATTGATCCCCATCACACATTTCACCCATCCCCTTCCCAGTCTCACCTCTGGCAACCACCAGTCTGTTCTCTGTATCTGAAATTTGTTTTGTTTTGTGTGTTCAGTTGTTTTGGTTTTGCTTTTGATTCCACATATCAGTGAAATCATATAGTATTTGTCTTTCTCTGCCTGGCTTATTTCATTTAGTGTAATGCCCTCAAGGTCTAGCCATGTTGTTGCAAATGGCAAGATTTCATTCTTTTTTATGGCTGAGTAGTATTCCTGTGTGTGTGTGTGTGTGTGTGTGTGTGTGCGCGCGTGTGTGTGTGTGTGTGTGCGCGCGCATGTGTGTATCACATCTTCTTTATCCATTCATCCATCGACAGACAGTTAGGTTATTTCCATACCGGGGTATTTATACCAAGAAAACAAAAACACTAATTCAAAAAGATACATGCACCCTATATTCATTGAAGCATTAGTTAGTTAGTATTTTATTGGAAGGGTAGCACCATTGCCTTCAGTGACCAAGTCGTGGGTGTGGGTATCCGCATAAGAAAGTGAGACGAAGCACAAGGCTCAGACCGGCATAAAGGACCTTGACATCTAAAGACCAAACCAATATACAGCAGAGGTGGGGGTTGGAGAAAGACGTATTACCAACATAGTATGAGCTTGTTTGAGTCACAAAGGCCTCCAAACACTGCCATGGCAACAGAAGAGGAGAACAAATCACATCTGTGTTTAGAGAATCGAAACCCAGCAAAGTGAGGAAATGCTGCCCCCAAGAGGGAGAAAAGAAATCTTGAGGTAATAAACATCCTGACAGCCAAAAGGACAAGGGTAAAACCTAATCCTGTCCCTAAGCCTCCCTTTAAGCCTAAATAGGAACTTGGGCATAGATTTTACTAAGCTGAACCCTTACTAACGCTGCTGAATCTTGAGTGGATATTCTGTCAAGCCCCTTTGATGAAAGGAGTGGCTATAAGTAAAAGGGGAAACAGGAAGCATCTGGAAAGAAGGTGCTTCGGGGACCCACTGTTCTTCTATCACACCTATGATCCTTGAGCTCGAGGAATCCATAGTTCAGCCAACTCTTCAGTCCCCAAAGCTTAGTCCTACCTCCAATACTAATCCTGACTTCCCCTTAGATATAGGGACATTGATTTTCCCCAGGAGGACAAACTTTAGCAGACATTAGGGAGACAGTAAAAAGTCTGGTTGGTAGTCAGGTTCGGTGTACTTTGAACTGTTCTCCATGTTAACAGTGAGACACACCAAGCCTCTTAGACAGGCGTTGAAGCTGAGGTTTTTTGGCAGAAGCACAGGATGGAGATGGTTTTGTAGATATCTCTTAACCCGGAGGGCCGCAGACTGGCCGGTGTGACCCATGACTGCAGCTTAGTTTTTAAAGGTTTGTGTAGAATGAGAGAAGAAGAATACAAGACAGAGCCCAAATATGGCCCACAAAGTCTCAATTCTTTACTATCTGACTCTATACCGAAGTTCTCTAAGCTCTGTCCTAGCCAGAGGCCGTGTCAGTGACGTACCTGTGAGGGGTGGAGCAGGTGAGCGGTAGGCTTATGCACACGTGTGTTATATGTGGATGTTCAGATCAGTGTTCTGAACAGAGTCAAAGTCTCCTACTTTCTCATCCCTTTACAGACTCCTGACTGGGGAGATGGGGAAGCAGGCATATAGCTTTGAGACTCAGCACCTGTTTGGGGGATGTACTTTGCCCCTTAGCTCAGCCGTAGAACAAACCACATAGTTCCAGAATCTCGCTGCTGTGTCCTCTGTGTGATCAGATCATACTGTTAATAAAATTCTCTCTGTGTGTGCGCATTTCTTCACAAGTGTTTCTTATTTTACTCAGGGGCTTCCTGGTCAGAAAGGCTTTAAAGGTGAACCTATCCTCACCCAAGGTACTTTCAAAGGAATGAAGGTAAGAGCCCCTAAGGCAGACAGCTAAGTAGGCTGGCTATAAGTTGAGTTCCCCAGGATTGGGCCCCAGCTCCAATAAAACATTTCCAGAACTAGCATCTGTGTCTCTATTTAAGGAGGAGACCAAGCTAGATTTAAAAGGGATCCGGAGCTTTTTTTGTGATGGAAACCCTGACAGAAATGTTTGCAACCATACTGTCAAAGAGATTTGCTTTATAGGATCTAGACCAAAAATAGGAGACAGATCAGCAAACAAACAGTTTGCCTGGGTATCATTTTCTTCGACAAGCCAAGACATTTCCAGGAGGCAGATACCTTTTGTCTACCCTAAAATCCTTGATGTCTGCATACCTTGGTATAAAGCCATGTTATGTCTCTGCCCATCTCGGCATGGCCACCGGCCCCCGGATGATGGCCCCGCCCTTTTCTCTACCCGCACACCAGGCCATTACCCTCACGGGGCCCCTGGCTGTCTGCAAAAATTGCCCATCAACTCTGCAGTTGGCTGGAAACTTTCATCTCTTCCTAGAATTGACAAGAACCTTCTGTATTCTTGTGACTGTACTCTCGGTGTATGCTAACCTGGAAACTCTGGTGCCCAAATGATTGACTCTATTCCCTTGCAGAGTGGGAGGTGAGCTCATCGTCCCCCTGGTAGCAGATGGATTCATGTTGCTCATTTTACAGATAGAAAAACAGAGGTACACTGAGGCTATGTACCTTGCTCAGACTCACATAGCCGGTTTACCGAAGAGCTAAAACCCAGGCAGTGCTCTTCCTGTGCTGCAGAGAGCTGATTTTTTTTTGACCGTAAGCCAAACGGGTTAAGACTAGCAGGTGTCAAAGTATAGCCATTGTCATAGCAAACACTGATGAAAGGGCTTTGCCAAAAATCACGGAGACCCTGGACCCAGTGGAACACAGCAATTTCCACAAGATGGTTATATTACAGATTCATACAGTGACTTAAGATGCTGCAAAGTAATTAAAACGTAATCAGAGACTGTATGCTCTGTTGATTCTCCCTTGAAATGTCTGATTTGCATTGTATACATAAGGGCAAGGATTCTCTGGGGATGAAGGCACACGGGAAGGTAGCTTCGCTTTCTTCCAAAAAGAGCAGGAGAATCACCAGCCCACAGAAGCAGTTTCTAATTGATGAGTTCCTAGCAAAGGTGAAAATTAATTACTCCAAGTAAAATATGAAATCCCGTTCAACCAAGGCTATAATATGTGTCTTCTAGAGTCCGGATTTTTCATAGGGAAAAAAAAAAAAGTAAGTGGTTGAATAGGCCCAATTCATGCATTATTTAAAACACAAGACCTTGACAGAGGAGGCCCGAGCATCAGCAATGCGTTTTTCTGCCCGTGAAGCATAGGTCCGTTATCTATGAAATAATAGCGCAGGCTTAATTAATCTCTTCCATGTCCTGCCTTTGTCTGTTTCTCAGGGGGAGCCTGGGCTGCCTGGACTGGATGGAATAACTGTAAGTTGTCATTTCTGGGTGGAGCACCCAATGTTTGGTCGGCAGTCACTGCGGGTCCCCTTGCATTCTTCTTCGCTATGGCGTTCGAAGGTCTTTGTAGACTTTCTCAAGGAAAATCCGGACAGTTGGGGTAGAGCGGGTCACGCTGTTGATATTTTCTGGGTGAGAAAGTTCTGAGAGGGTCGGCTGTCCCCCTCAAGTTGCACGGGAGGTAGCCTTTCGGACCCTTAGGCCAGGGACCTTCCTACTCCCTGCGATGCATTCGGAAAGAATTTCGCCTTTCGTTCGGCAAGCGTCTACTAACTGTTCTCTGTGTGTTCAGAATGCTGCGGGTTAAAACAAAAAAGAACACTTTTCTGTGAAAGCTGTTCTGTCTAGAAATTCCTTTGAGGGACTCCTAATAATTGGGAGTCTGTGCAAGGCTGTGAGTTGTATTAATAAAAACTTTCTGGGGCGCCTGGGTGGCTTAGTCAGTGAAGCGTCTGCCTTTGGCTCAGGTCATGATCCCGGGGTCCTGGGATCGAGCCCCGCATCGGGCTCCCCGCTCCGCGGGGAGTCTGCTTCTCCCTCTCCCTCTGCTCCCCCGCACCTGTTCTCTCTCTCTCTCTCAAATAAATAAATAAAATCTTTTTAAAAAATAAGAACTTTCTATTTCCTTGGGTTGCCACATCATTGTTGCTTTCCTTTGAAGTGGCTTCGGAAAAGCCCCTTCTTTCTTCCTTCTTTCCTATGTCAGGGTTCCTGCCTTTCTTTTTTCATTCCAGAACCACTATTGAGCTCCTACTAGCTGTAAGGTGCTATGAGTGATCCCCGAGACAGTGTAGTCAGGGTCTCTGCCCACCCCACACCCCAACACACACACCCCAAGATGTGAAAAACTAGTAGAACTGTGGCATAAGAATTCCTCACCAACTTGGAGGAAGAGATGCTGTCCACCTAAAGCTACATCATGGGAGACTTTATATCTAAGATGGAGAAGGTAACCTCTGAGAACTGCGGGTGATGTTTGGGCTGGCCCGCAATGGGAGGAAGCTATCTAAACAGAGAGAGCCATGTGGGAAGAGGTAGGCAAGAAACAGGATGCGTGCAAGCATGCACGCAAACAGAGGTGAGTGAAGACCAAGGGCATAAGGGTCCCCTTCACCAGGCAACACTGGCTTAGATGGTGTGTTAACTACATTCGCAGAATCACACCCACGTTGTTGGCTGCCTCGCTTCTCCTAGGGAGTCATTGCTCAGCCCACAAAGGTACAAGTATTCGTCGGCAGTATTCGCAGGCATGACAAATAAATCATTTAGATCGGGGGAGGATGGTTTGGTGGCTGAATAAGAGATTTGTGATCAGTAAGGGGACCCCAGGTTATTTTGTCAAAGCAGGGTTCTGTTTCCTGGGGACCCTCTGAACCCCTACTTTCTTGTGACTTTGCTTAGCCTCTCCATCCCTTACCTAACACCTCATTACCATCCCTCCATTTTCATTGGGCCATCCATTTCCCCATAACCGTCTTTCTCTTCAGATTTTATTGTCTTGCTTGTAATACTGTCCTTAGCAATCCAGTTTCAAATAGTTTCTCATTCCCCTTCTGCGTTTCTCTTTGACCCACGGAAATGTGCGCTGTTTAATTTCCCGATATTTGGCAGCTGCCCAGCCATCTTTATGTGGTTGATTTCTACTTTGATCTCAGTGCAGTGTGGGTGAGCACTCTGTAGGGTTTCAAACCTTTTAAATCTGTTGAGGTTTGTTTCATGGCTCAGCATATGAAACGGTCTCGGTGAATGTGCCGTATGCTCTTAAAGAGAATATGTTTTCAGCTGTTTTGGGGTACAGTGATCTAAAAAATGTCCATCGGGTCAAGGTAGTTGACAGTGTTGTTTAGATCTTTGTGTCTTTACGATTTTTTTTAAAAATCTAGTTGTTCTATTAATTACTGAGGGAGGGATGTTAAAATTCTCCAACTCTGGTTGTGGATTTGTTTATTTCTCCTTGCAATTCTGTTTCATGTATTTTGAAGCTATGCTATTAGATGCATATACATCTAAGATTGTTATGTGTTCTTGATGAATTGACTTAGTTTATCATGACAAAATACCCCCTCTTCATCTCTGGTAATATTCTTTGTCCCAAAGTCTACTTTATTTGATGTTTATAAGTGTTTTGCTTTCTTTTGAAGTTTTTGTTTTTTACATCACTTTAATATAAAAAAAATTTCAAATATAGAGCAAAGGGGAATGAATTAATATTAATATTTTACTATGCTTGCTTTATCCCACTTCTATCCATCTATCCATCTCTATCCATCCATCAATCCATCTTATCGTTGATGCATTTTGAAGTAAACTGCAGACAGTAGTACTCTTACCTCTAAATACTACAGCATGTCTATCATTACCTAGACTTCAATATGTCTTTGCAGTTTTTCTTTTAATGTAAAAATTACATGCAATGAAATAAACAAATCTTAAATGGAACATTTCCTGAGTTTTGACAAAGACATACTCCTATATAACCCAAACCCATCTTAAGGCATAGAACATTCTCATCGCCTCAGAAATTTCCCTTCTGCCCCTTCCCAGTGAATCCCTGCCCCCACCTAAAGGAAATCACTGTGCTGATTTCTCGCCATCATAGTTCAGTTTTTCCCATTCTAGAATTTTTTATAAAGGAAATAATATAATCCGTAGCCTTTGGGGGTCTGGCTTCTTTCACTTAGCACAATGCTTTCAAGATTCATCCACATTATAACATATCAGTAGGTTGTTACTTTTTATTGTTGAGGATTTATTCCACTGTGTAGATGTATCAGTTATTTATCAGTCCTTGTATCAGTGGACACCTGGGAAATTTCCAACTGTTTGCTACTATGAATAAAGTTGCTATGAATATTCTTTTGCTGCTCTTGCAGACATATATTTCCAATTTTCTTGAGAAATTGTCTTTTTTTCTGACCTTCATAAAAACTTGCCTCTCTAGGGCCCACCAGGAGCACCCGGGTCCCCAGGAGCTGTAGGACCCATGGGGCCACCAGGATTGCAAGTAAGACCAACCTAAATCGACCACGTGATCACAGTATGCCCATGAATCCTTTCCCAACAGGGCCACCGATTAAATATAAGCCTGTGTAGGCTCTCCTAGTGGAAAAAGGCAACCTCCATTCTTGGAGGAGTCAAGTGAAGACTGCTCTTGTAAGGAGCTGATTGTTGTCTTTATCAGTCTTTCTGACTCTGCGCCCAGGGATGGCAGTGCCTGGCACACCTATTTCCATCTTCTACCCCCCTCACCCATGACAGACCCTGCTAATTAATCACACCATCACCACGATCACCCACCCTGAACACAGAAGCAACTTCGAAATCCTTCTCCACACTCCACCTTGGACAAGGCTACCGACCTACCTATCTTTTGGATACCAAACGTATTTGCCCTCACCGGTATAGAAAGAACATAGCCAGTTATCCCCATGTGGTTCTGGGAAAGGCCCGTTTCCAGAATGTTCTCTCTCCGGTGCATGAAATCTCACCACTGATTACTTTGGTTTAGCTTTCCCCAAGGCCATTATTTTTTAAATGTGTAGCCTATTGGGAGGAATGATGCATGAATCTTTACCACCTTAGCATGAACGTGGTTATCAGGTCAATTGGGGAGATTTCAAAGGAGATTTAAAAAAGGGAGGGCACCATGGGAGAGGGAGCTAGAATCTGCAGTGCTAAAGCCAGAACATACTGAGGGAGTGGGAGACTCATCTCCAGGGACTCTCCACATGCCCAGGTTCTTTTTGTCTGAAACTAACAAGTGCTCATTCCTTTCATTTTTAATATAGGGTCCTCCAGGCCCCCCCGGCTTCCCTGGTCCTGATGTAAGTATACTGTCTTAGGGCACTTGGCCTCCTACCACTAAGTGTTCTAGTTTCCCCAGAGAGACTCTGGTTTGGTTAAACACGCTTTCTGGTAAAATACTGCATTCCAATTTAAGTTCCTGGAGCTTGTTTAGTAATTGATTTTGTTTTTCCTCCCTGCAACCCTGTGCCCCAGGGGAATATGGGGTTAGGTTTCCAAGGAGAGAAAGGAGTCAAGGTAAATAGATTTTGGAAAATACAATCTGCCTTCCATATGCTCCCAGCACCATCTCTGGCTGCACACATGTGCCTGCTCATTTTAAGGGCACTTGGATCTTTGCCTTGGGAAATGAGCATTTCCCACTCCACGTGGGTCGTGTGGTGGGATCCCTGGAGGGGCTGCGTGTACACACGCCACACGTTGGCTCCTGGGGTCTTTTTCCTTCCAAATACTGTATGTAGTCTCCCTGCTTCCGACCTGTGAAATGTGCATGTCTTACAAACATACTCTGTTGAAATCAATTCCCTCCTCCTTCCACCTGGGTGTTTCCCTGATGTTCTGTATATTATGTCACCTTCTCTTTCCTCTCCTTTGCTTCTCCTCTTCCCTCTATGCTTCCTCTTCTACCTCCTCCTCCTTCTCCTCCTGTCTCTCTCTCTATCCCCTCTGTCTCTCCTCCTCAACCTCTCACCATTCTCTTCTACTTCCCTTCCCTCGTTCCCTGTTTCCATCTGCACAAACCGTAGAGTGATTTTGTGAGGCACGAGGGAGCCTGGGAGCTTGCCCTCTCCACCCTGCACGGCTGCATTTTGTACATCCAAGGAGCAAATCCAGCCTCCGGTGTTCCAACACAGACTTCACTGCCTCTGCTCATGCTCTTGGCAAGGACTGGGCCAATTAGAGTCTGATCGCCATTGCCAAGAGGTGGCCGTTCTCCTTGCTCAAAAGCCTTTTTTGCTCTCTTCTAAACACCCTTTGATGCATGACCCTGGCAACCGCGAACCTGTGGTTTCCTTTCATCAATCTTGCTTCTTCCCTCTGCAGTGCTGGTACAAAATGCATTTGGCCAGGCTTATAATTCTTCCCAGCCCCTTGGTACTGAGAGTTTTGCTTCCTCGCTGAGGCAAGGGTGAGGGTAAAGAGGCCAAAGGAATGGATAGTTTATTTGTGAATGACATCCAGAGGACAAACCTTTCTGCTTTGCTTAACATTCCCTTTGATCTTACAGGGAGATGTTGGCCTCCCAGGCCCTGCAGGACCCCCACCATCTACTGGGGAGCTGGAATTTATGGGATTTCCCAAAGGGAAGAAAGGATCCAAGGTAGTGAACATTTAAGCCTAGGAAATGCTAACCACCCTTCTCCTATTAATACCAAAGTTCAACTCTAATAACCAGACTCTACTGGAAAGATAGAGGGTTCTGGGTCATGCTTTTTTGTTTGGAAGTGAGGGTAAAGCCTTCTCTGTGTTGTCCCCTGTGAAAAGCTTCTAAATACCCTGTGTTTGGGTGCGTGGATATGAGTGTGCCTGGGCTTCTGGGCATTTGTTTAAGTCCTATTTTCTGTGGTTTGGTTTTTCAAATTCAGTTATCAAGATGCTGAATAACTTAAAACAAATATTAAGTAGTTGGGTTTTTTTCCTCCTAACTCCCAACCCTCTCAATACTTATGTTGTCCCCAAAGCACTGTGACAGAACACATATGGTGTACATGGTTGCTTTTAAGTTATCTTTTTATTTTTTTATTTTTATTTTTTTTAAAGATTTTATTTATTTATTTGACAGAGAGAGACACAGCGAGAGAGGGAACA